TTGTGCTGCGTTTTCAGCCTGGGGGTCCCCAAGTCAGTGACGGTGATAGTGATGTTGTATTCGGCTCTGCTCTCTCTGTCGAGGGGACTCTCCGTTACCAGCGTGTAGAAATTCTTGAAAGTCGGTTTCAGAAGGAACGGCAGATTATCTGGAATAGAGCAAATCATCTTGCCATTGTCTCCAGAGTCTCTATCTCGAATTCTGAAGATAGACACTACAGTCTCAGGAGCATTTTCTGGGATGGAGTTGGTGAGTGAAGATATTGTAAGCTCAGGGGCATTGTCGTTCACATCCACCACATGTATGACTACAGTGCCTTTTCCAGAAAGGCCTCCGCCATCTATGGCCTCAATTTCTACGTGGTAAGATTTAATGTGTTCAAAATCCAATTTCTTTGTCAGTCGGATTTCTCCTGTGACTTCATTAATTGAGAAAGTTTGTTTAATTTCATCTGATGCTTGGAAAAAGCCGTAGGAAACACTCCCGAAGTTTCCAGAATCTATATCTTTAGCTGAGACACTAAGTACTGGGGAATCTAAGGAGCTGTTTTCCAAGACCTGTACTTCATATGGGGTGTGCACAAACTCTGGAGCATTGTCATTGACGTCTGTGATCAGGATTCGCACTGTGATGGTGCCAGACTTAGGTGGAGATCCACCATCCAGTGCTATGAGGGTTAAGCTGAACGCAGGCTGCTCCTCTCGATCCAGCGCTTTGTCCTGCACCAAATCTGGGTATTTCTTGGCCTCACTATGATTTCGAGTTAGAACATGAAAATAAGAATTGGGGCTGATAGTGTACTTTTGAAGGCCATTGCTACCCACATCCAAATCCTGAGCTAATTTCAACGGAAACAGAGTCCCTGGCTGGCTGTTCTCCGGTATTTTCAAGAGCATTTCCCCAGTCGGGAATACTGGGGAGTGGTCATTTATGTCCTGGATTGATAATTCTCCTTCAAAAAATTGCACCGGCGTTTCCAGCAACACTTGGAAATGCAGTACACACGGTTCAACAGAGCCACATAGTTCTTCCCGGTCTATTTTCTCCCTCAAAAGCAAATCTCCAGTCTGACGATCCAGTTGCAAGCGCTGCTTGTCATCGTCAGACACCACCCGGGCTGACCTAGCGGTCAGTTCCCTAATTCCCAGGCCCAGATCTTTGGCCAGATGGGCTATAAAGGAGCCACTCTCTGTTTCTTCTATCACAGAATAACGAATAGGCTCAGGGCAAGCCTGGGACAAGAACACCATCAAAATAAAGGCCACCACTTGCCTGTTTGGTTGAATTCTCTCTGGCGTCTTCATGTTGGAGTCCGGGCGCTTACATCCAAACCTTCGTAGCAACCACAAAAAAACTGGAGATACTAAATTCTGGTTTCTTGTTTGGTAGAATCCTCATAAAGTTGCCTTTAATCTTAAATTCGTTTATCGCAGCCCAAACTCGCTGGTAACCCAGTATGGCTGGCAAAGCTTCTTCCGTGTATTTGATTCCTTTTTGCAACAAAGGAATACGGAGCTTTTTACAGCTCTTTATTCACAGTCTTAGCCTGCAGCGCCACCCTGCGTCTTGATTGGGAAATTAATATTTTCAAGTCAAAGCATATTTTTTTAAGGGTCCAAATGTAAACTATTTTTTAAGGTGTATATAACTTTTACAAACCTTGTTATTCCATCCAATTGCATAATATATAAGGTTACTTCATTATATTGCATGAGCTAGAGTAATTGTGAGCACAAAGCAGGAGGATACACTGATCTCCCCACATTCTAATCAGTGTAACTTCAAAGAATTCCATTTTCCCTTTGCATAATCTAACCAGGGGAGATAAATTCTCATAAAATTATAATTCATAATAGTTACATTTGTTTATTTCCAAGTATGTGAGGAATTAATGATGATGCAAAAGCTTGTTAAGGTGTTCTGTATCACAAGGTCTCAGGGAGACTATTTTTCAAAGGAAAGTTTCTATGTCGCTACACTGGTACAAATAGTAATATAGTTGAATGAAGAGGCATCTTGATTTGTTATGAATCCTTTTACAGTGTGAACCCACATTAAATTCAGAAGGAATAAAAAAGTATTAGAATTTGATTCTCTTCTCTCCAAGTAATAGACTTGGAGAGTAAATGAAAGGGGTTTTACCAATAAGGAAACTGAAGGGTATAGGATTTGATTACTCTACTTGACTATTAGCAGGATAATATAAAGACAAAATCAAGTGAATAAAAATCATAATATTTTGTTAAGATAAAGGGTTTAAGTTTAAGCTTACTTTGTTAGATAGATATCTATATTTTATGTTTGCTTCTTAGCACATTCATCCTTTGTATCCCAGATACTATATTCTTCAACCAACTCACTGCGGGGTGGGGGGTGGATAGGAAATCTTGATTTAAAACATTTTAATCTGTGAACAAAGGGTGCCTCAGGCCTTGTCTATTCATATATCATAAAGAGAAGAAACGTATTTATAAAATGGGTTCCAGCACAGTGTGCAGCTATTGTAATTGCCCTGATACAGTAAGTTAACTGAGATACAGTTAACCAGTTTGTTGGTTACAATTAGTATATTAAGTGGAGTGCCGTTTATCTTGGCACATATGGGATTTCCCCTCCTTAAATACCCTGTCATTTTATTTAATTACTTAATTAACTTAATAAATTATAATTCATGTAGAATGAGTTATTTTAAAAGCATGATAATCTTAGATTCTGTTAGTGACAGAAAGTATTATAAAAATATTTTTGGGGGCACCTTGGTTAAGTGTCTGACACTTGATTTTGGCTAGGTGGTGATTCGATTTGGGAGCTCAAGCCCCGCATTGGGCTCTGCACTGTGAGTGCAGAGCCTGCTTGGGATTCTCTCTCTCTGTCTCCGCTTCTCCCTTGTTCGTGCGTTCTCTCTCTCTCTCTCTCTCTCTCTCTCTCTCTCTCAAAAATAAATAAACCTAAAAAATATTTTTGAAAGAAGCCTAGATTATGGTGATCATTAAAAAATATCAGTTGAATAAATAAATTAATCCACTCTAATGATCATGTTTCTATATATGTAAGATTATTGCCAGATCATATATGCAGCCATGAACATGTCTGAAAATAAATATAGAATTCTCAGAGATGACAGTATAGTACATGCTAAGTACTATTCAATTAAATTTACTTTGAGTCTAGTTCTATTAATGAATTCCTATAAGAGATACAGCATTGGCAATAATAACATTAATACACTTTAGAATTCTTTTACATTTAAGGCAAATCAGAGGAGATACAATATATATATGAACATTAAGTGAAATAAATACTGAAAAGAATAAAAAGCAAGATATTATTTTAGATATAAATGGAAAACAAATATCCTGGGCAAAACAAAGAGCAAATTGTATACAATATAATAATGAAGTTCTAGTTAGATTCAAATTAAAGTGTTCAGAACAAATCTCAAACTATATTTCATTTGCTTATTCCTATTTGTTGACATTCAAACAGTGTTGCAAACCAACTCTTTTCAGTTCCTTTTGTCAATCCAAAGCAAATGAAATCTAGATAATATTAACACAAATGTGTCTCTATATGCCATTCTATGTAATACTCTAAGCAATTACCTATATTAATTCATTTTATCTCCCAACAACCTTATGAGGTGGACACTCTTATCATCTGCATTTTATAGATGAAGAAAATTAGGTTTAAATAACCTACCAATAATCACACATCATATGAAATGGCAGAGCTGGGATTCAAACTGTTGTTTGTGTGTGGCTCCAGAATCTATTCTCTTATCTACATAAGTGGAATTGGAGAAGTGGGCAACTTTTTAGATAATGTAGATCCAAATTTAAGTCTTGGGTACATAGACATCATAGGTGAGATATATTTATGTTCAAGTTTGTGGTTAACCTAAGATGACCATCTTCAAGATGGTCTGTCTTCCTTTAGAGTTAGAAACCAGCAAAAAGAGGTGCTTACAAAACTTGGGAATTGGAGGGGAAACTAATAGTGCTTTGTTGTGACCATTAATTAGGTAAAAAATAAAAATTAAGAATGACATATTTAATGAATTCCCTATAGCCTTAATTATTGGAGAAAAAGATATCTATGTATGCTCTTTTGAAATGTTATTAGTATGTGAAGTTAAAATCAAGAAAGATGGCCCAAAAGGACAGTCTAACATATTACATCATAGATTATTCCCCCCAAATAAACTGCTAAATTTAAAAACAGCCTATTATATTTTCCCTGCATGGAGGAGGAGTTAATGATATAAATAATGATCACCCAAAAAACCATTCTATTCCAGTCAGGAAAGTTGCATTATCCATTCTGAAGGATTCATACAACAATTTACACAACTTTTGCAGGACCTGAAATATGACATTTAAAGTATTTTTTCCATTTTGAGTATACAAAGAGAGAGAGAATAGTTTTAATATCTCCCTGGTAAAATATAGGCAAGAACTTTAAATTTCATTGAAGAAAAGGTAAAAATCATTTTAAAGGTATTTGAATACAAGTAGATGGAAAATTCAAAATGCAAAATCCATACTCTGAAGTTTTGAATACTCTCACTTGTTTTAAAAAAAAGTAAGAATTTTTTCAAACTTCATGATGACTTGAGGGCTGTTTTTAAGGGGGAAAGTAGAAGGAATTTGAACATTAATTGTTGAGAGAAAGAGAAATTAATTGGTGAAATAGGTATTAGATTTTAATTAGTATTTTTAGTTCCTTAAATTGCACTTTAATAATATTATTTCAAAATATTAAACTAACATTAATAATTGGTTAATATTGATGGTTTGTGGATTTTGTAAGAAAGTCTTATAAATTTTTGAGATTTGTTTCTACTAGATAGATAAATTAGATACCTCAGGCTTGCCATTTGAGTGAAATAACTATAAAACAAACAATACAGCTCACTGGTGAAAGCAAACTAAAATTATTATTAATATCAGCTAAAATTCCAAACTAAATCTATAAGATATTTTTATCACATGTATTGAAATGCAAATTTAGAAAGGAGATATTTGAATAATGAGAATTTGGCTTGAGAAATTTATGATGTAATCTAAGACAATTTCTAATAATTCATTGTAGGACATACTAAATAAAGAGATTATATGTTTAATGTATCAAAAATTTCAAACATCTAATGTCTGCCTCACAATACATCTTTAAACTCAGGAAGTATGAGTCTTCCAAATCTGTTGTTCTTTTTCAAAGACTTTTTGGCTATTCTGGGTCCCCTATATTTCCATATGAATTTTAAGGTCAATTTGCCAATTTCAAAAAAAAAAAACACAAAAAAAACAAATCTTGCTGGGATATTGATAGGGATTGCATTGAACCTGTAGACCAATTTGGCAATTTGGGAGGTATCATCATTTCAACAATGTCGAGTCTTCCAGTCCATGAACACTTTCCATTTATTTAAGTCAGCTTTAATTTCTTTCAATGATGCTTTGTTGTGTACAAGTCTTGCACTTATTTTGTTAAATTTGTTCCTAAGCATTTTATTCTTTTTGATGCTATCATAAATGGAATTGTTTTCTTCATTTCCTTTTTGGATTGTCCAATGGTAGTGTATAGAAATACAATTGATTTTTGTACGTTGATCTTGTATCCTCCAACCTTTCTGAACTCATTTATTAATTTTAGTAACTTCTGTATATTCCTGAGGATTTTCTTTAGGCAAGATCATGTCATCCACAAATATGCTTTTACTTCTTTTCAATCCGAATGATTTTCTTTTTCTCATTTAATTGCCCTGGCTAGATTTCCAGTACAGTATTAAATAGAAGCAGGGAGAAGGGGCATTCTTGTTCATTTCTCATCTTTCACCATTAAATATGAAGTTGGCTATGGGTTTTTATAATTGCCCATTATCAGGTTGAGGACATTTCCTATTCTTACTAATTTGTTAAGTGTTTTTATCATGAAAAGGTGTTAGACTTTGTAAAGTGCTTTTTCTGTGTAAATTGAGATGATTGTATGGCTTTTCCCTTTTTGTTAATATGGTATATTTTATTGATTGATTTTCATATGTTAAACCAGCTTTTGATTTCTGGGATAAATTCCACTTGGCTGTGGTGTTTAATCCCTTTCATATGTTGCTGGAGTCAGGTTGCTAATATTTGGGTGAGAATTTTTGCATCTATATTCGTAAGGGATAATGGCATAGAGTTTTCTTTTCTTGTGTTATCTTTGCCTGCATTTAACATCAGAATAATATGGGCCTCACAGAATGAATTGGGAAGTGGTCCCTGCTCCTCTTTTTAAAATCAGGTTTGTGAAGGACTGGTGTTAATTTAAAAAAAAAAAATTTTTTTTAACGTTTATTTTTTTGGGACAGAGAGAGACAGAGCATGAATGGGGGAGGGGCAGAGAGAGAGGGAGACACAGAATCAGAAACAGGCTCCAGGCTCTGAGCCATCAGCCCAGAGCCCGACGCGGGGCTCGAACTCACGGACCGCGAGATCGTGACCTGGCTGAAGTCGGACGCTTAACCGACTGCGCCACCCAGGCGCCCCTAATTTTTTAAACATTCAATAGAATTCTAGTCCTGGGACTTTCTTTGTGTAAATTTTTTTAAAAAATAGTATTATTATTTTTTTAAGTTTATTTATTTATTTTGAGAGAGACAGCGAGAGTGCAGGGGAGGGACAGAGAGACAGGGAGAGAGAGAGTCCCAAGTAGGCTCCATGCTGTCAGTTCAGAGCCTGACACCCGGCTCAAACTCAGAAACCATGAGATCATGACCTGAGCCAAAATCAAGAGATGGATGTTTAACCAAGTGAGCCACCCAGGAGCCCCTGGAAAGTTTTTTGATTACTTATTAAACCTTCTTTAATAGGAAAACATTCACGATGAAAAAATTCACTTCCCCAGAGATAAATTTAGGCAAAACAAATCTGAAAATGACAATAGAGAACACAATTTTAATTTTTGATAAACCCCAAATTGTTCTAGAAGTTGAGTTTCTCATCAAAGCTCTTCCGCATAGACAGCCCATATTATCTGGAGCCAAATGACTTTAGAAATCTGAACCCATTTGTCTCTGATATTCTGGTCAGAAACCTCTCACATTAATAGTTCTTCAACTAAGTCCCAATGACGTTGATATCCCCCACATACTCAAAAAATGACCTTATGAGAAGTAGTCCACTGAAGGTTCCCTGTTAGTCCTCCACAACAGGAGCAGAAAACCGAGAGTGGAAGATGGCTGAGTCAACTCAGTGATCAAGAGGATAGAGAACCTGTCAGCTGAGTAGACTTATGTGGAGGTTCAGGGAATGACAGGTCAGGCTGGGATAGGTCCTAGACCATGTCAAATGGAGGTGGCTTATAGTCCTTAATAACAGCAACAGCTTGTGCCTGGCTGTGCCTGTCACTTAGGAGCCTAGTAGTTATGCTTCAGTGCTCCATACTTCGACATGTAAACATCAAGTACTCTGAAGCTTTGAATCACTGATAAAATAGTCCTGAGTTTTAACTCAAGTTACATCCAGGTTACCACCTTGTTTTATGTGGCACCAGCTCAATGCATAATATAAGATAGTTTTGCAGCAAGTTTTTCTGGCCATCCAGCAAGTATGTGTGTCATCCAGGACTACCATGTGCAGCCGTGTCATATATATTAATAAAGACTATGGTTTTTTTCCTGTAGGTAAACCCTATGTATCAATTACTTCAGCTACAACTCGATTTTCCTCAAAATCAGTTTGTTTACTCTGAAGATTGAAAAATAAAAAATGTCTCCATTAGCTCCCAAGTCTACAGCTGTAACAGACACCAAGATAAAC